CTCCATAGAGATTTAGACAGGGAATTAAGGAACACAATTACTCCGATGCCGTCTATATATTATATATATGGAAATCTAGACAATGCTATGAAATCAGTCGTATCTTAAACGGTTATTCACATGAAACTAACAACAATATAGTCAAATCCATGTCAGCCTTTATAAGGCAACCGTTTACACTGCACTGATTCTGTATACAATCTACTCTTCTTCTATCTTTCTATCATCTCATCCTATCTTTCATATGACTTTAACAAAAAATATTCTGCAAATCATTAACTTTGTATGAATATATATGTATACAATGTAAATGCATATTTGATACATAAGAGTCTAAAAGTTTAAAGAACCTGCCTCTGTCCATTTGTCTGATTTTGATAAGAAAATAAATTCAGCGTAATAAGTCTCGTGAATAAGTAGACACGTATATTTTAACTCTCTTGGTTCAAGGAAAAATGGTGTTTGAGGTCTTGGAAAAATAAAAAATTACAAAAAAAAATTAAAAAAAAAAAAAAAAAAAAAGTGTTTGATGTTTCATTCAGTTCATTTTTAGAGAAACGTTTTATCATTTTAGGTAAACTAAGTTGCGATCTGTGTGAAATGAAAAGTGTGCTGTCTATGACAACCTTGACCACGCCCTTGAATTGCCATTTAATGTCAATAAAAGTGACGTGAAGCGTTACAGCTAATCTCTTTGCGTGAATCCGATTGCGGGTCTGTCGTGCATGCGTATAGGTTAGGTATTAACAGACGTTTCTGACAGTTATATTGGAAAGTTTCAATAACGTGTACTCGAAGATTTGAAACAATATAAAGGTTGTCATAGGAAATTGGAAGAAAGAATTAAGGTAAACTTTCAACGAAAAGACAATATAAATATAATTATTGCTACAAAATTTCCTTAATTTGCACTTTTTGTCTTTCAAATTTATGACAACAACAAAAAATAAATAAATAAATAAATAAATAAATAAATAAACAAGATGTGTTTATGAACCTATATGCCCTTGGTTAGAACGAAATTCTGAAATGGGATATCAAAACTGTACTGTGTAAGACATCTGCTGATTGCATGCACACTTTGTGACACACTCATGCCTTCATTGTGGTGATGATTTCTTTTTACTTCATTACAAATAAAGGTCAAAATCATGGTCAAGGTCACATGGTCAAAACTTTTGGCACCACCAAATCAGTCTTGTCACATGGAATCCACATGCCAAATATGAAAGCCATACCTCTTACGGTGCAAAAGTTATGGGCAATGCTTAAACAGACAAACAAACAGACAGACAGACAGACAGTACAAAACCAATATGCCCCCATTCTTTCGATCCTGGGGCATGACAGTAAAACTGACCAATGCTTACTCATAACAGACAAGTATCTATAATATACAAATTCATAAGACTTGTATTCCGCCAATATTCAGCACTAATATCAATGAAACATTTGAAACTTACAATAGGAAGGGTGTCTTCTGAATAGATTGTATGGCATACTTTAGTTTTAGATAATTCGGATAGCATTGATTATATTTTTACAGTATCAAGTGTAACATAGCGAAAAAAGTAAAAAGTTAATACAAGTTATAGTGTGTAAAGTTTGGAACTATACAATGTTACTGCCTCATAGTAACACAAGATACTTTCACATAGTATACAGATTTATAAGCTTCACTTATAATCAGATGGATCACAATGAACACAACACAAAACCCTTCATATATCCTTTACCGATATTTTAAAGATTTTGTCCAAGAAAATACAAAATGTCACTCGTATTCTTCAAAACCTGATACGTGTCATTTAACGAAGCTTATGATCAGATTAGCTCGGCGCAGTCGCTTAAAGTGTTTACCAACGTAAGATACGAGCTGCACTTTCATGTTGTGTAACGATGTAGCCAACAGCCACAGCAAGGAAACCTTACCTTAAAAACTCTGACTGTTCACGGGACAACAAACCCAGCCAAAAAAAAAACAAAACAAAAACAAAAACAAAAGCAAAAACAAAAATAAAAAAAGAAAACAAATAGAGATTACGATATTCTTAAATAGCCTCTCACAAAGAGCAGATTCTTTTAGCACGAACCATACATAAGTGTAGTGGTCATGAAAGTGATTTATGTCATGTAGATGTATCTATTAGATATATGTCGATCACCTATAACATTGTTTTTCATTTATTCGCGATTGTTTTATTCGAATGCCTCAATAGAATTAAAAGATGTTTTGCATGTATGTTGAAGTTTAAAAGAATCTAGGCCAACCAAGACTCCGAAATTGTGAAAAATTTGGTTTCCGTATCATAACTTTAGAATGTCTGAATACAATTAAATAGCATTGTGCGTTCTACGTAGAAATATGAAAAAAAAAACGATACTTATTATATCAATATTTGATAATGAGTACTAATAAATAATTGAAAATTATGGCATCACATGTTATCAAGTAATTCCTGTGCTGAAATGTTGGGGTAGGGTCTATGTAAGTTGTGTTATCTGTTGTAATTGTGTATCGTAATGTTGGGAGAGGGTCTATGTAAGTTGTGCTATCTGTTGCAACTGTATATTGTAATGTTGGGAGAGGGCCTAGGTAAGTTGTGGTATCTTGTAATTGTGTATTGTAATGCTGAGAGAGGGTCTATGCAAGTTGTGTTATCTGTAGTTATTGTAATGTTGGGAGAGGGTCTATGTAAGTTGTGTTATCTGTTGTAATTGTGTATTGTAATGTTGGGAGAGGGTCTATGTAAGTTGTGTTATCTGTTGTAATTGTGTAGTGTAATGTTGGGAGAGGGCCTAGTAAGTTGTGTTATCTGAAGTTATTGTGTATTGTAATGTTGGGAAAGGGTCTATGTAAGTTGTGTTATCTGTTGTAATTGTGTATTTTAATGTTGGGACAGGGTCTATGTAAGTTGTGTTATCTGTAGTTATTGTGTAGTGTAATGTTGGGAGAGGGCCTAGTAAGTTGTGTTATCTGTTGTAATTGTGTATTGTAATGTTGGGAGAGGGTCTATGTAAGTTGTGTTATTTGTTGTAATTGTGTATTTTAATGTTGGGAGAGGGTCTATGTAAGTTGTGTTATCTGTTGTAATTGTGTATTTTAATGTTGGGACAGGGTCTATGTAAGTTGTGTTATCTGTAGTTATTGTGTAGTGTAATGTTGGGAGAGGGCCTAGTAAGTTGTGTTATCTGAAGTTATTGTGTATTGTAATGTTGGGAAAGGGTCTATGTAAGTTGTGTTATCTGTTGTAATTGTGTATTTTAATGTTGGGACAGGGTCTATGTAAGTTGTGTTATCTGTAGTTATTGTGTAGTGTAATGTTGGGAGAGGGCCTAGTAAGTTGTGTTATCTGTTGTAATTGTGTATTGTAATGTTGGGAGAGGGTCTAGTAAGTTGTGTTATCTGTAGTTATTGTGTATTGTAAAGGAATGGTGACTAGACGTACCATATCTGCATGGGCTAGGATGAAGTTCAAGACAACGAAATCTATGTGTATTATTATAACAGAGGTTCAACAAACCCACCAATTCAAGCTTTAAGTCCATGACGAATAAAAATTCCATCAATTGCAAAGAGATGCTTCACTGAAAGAAATTAGCAGCATCACCTTAACGCAGAAGCATGCCATTGAATGGTTGAGGAAGATTGATAAGTGAGGACTATAAGGAAATTTTAAGCCATGGATTTTCCAACATTGACTGTTACCAAGATACACGTTGGTCCCTGCTGCTATATGAGGTTCCATTAACACCAGTGGCCTAGAAAGCTCCATCAGCAACTACCTGCGGAGGTGGCTTGGAGTCCACCAACTTTCTCGAGGGTTGAGCTCTACAGCAGAACATCAGCTTCTCCTGACATCACTGTTATCTAAGTTCAGAGTAGCAAAGGCCATATTAGTGATGATGCTACGATGATAAGAAGATAGTCTGCGAACAAACATGTGGAGTATACCGAAGGTGCTCTCAAAAATGGGACATCCTCCGAGGAACCTGCGCATGGTGGCAAGGTCCGGGGACTACTAGAGATGCAGAAGACTGGAACAGGAAATCGAGGGCAGTGGGAATGGGCTCGCAAGGAGCGTAGACAAATTGGAATTCACCAGAGAGGAAACTAACGTGGTTTGCCTGTAACGCTATGAGCAAATGAGGTTCCAGTTCCTGTAGCAGTCACCTGCAAATCATAACCATTGGAGAGTAGTTGAGAAGCCGAAGTGCCAGCCCTGCCAAGAACGTTGGACCATGGGACATATTCTATTGGCATGCCAGGCCGCGCGTCCAGGTGCTTCAGGAATTAGCAGATATCCTCAAGGTGAAAAGGAAGAAGAGGCCATAGAAAAGGCACAAACTGACATTCATACAGTTTGTAAAAGCTGGGGAGCAGGAAAAGTAAGCTGCAGGGGGAAACAGTGGCATTCTAGAAGAGGCACAGTCATGGGATGTGAGAGACCTGAGGAAGAATCTAGCGTTTTGCAGACATCATGCAGACAATATAACGTCTGGATGTGGTGATATGGTCTACTGAATCCAGGTTGTAGTCATTGAGCTGACTGTGCCCTGGGAGGAGCGGGATGACCAAGCTCATGAGAGAAAAACAATATGCAGAACTAATGGAACAGTGTAAGGAGTGAGGATGACATACTTCGCTGTTTCCTACAGAAGTAGGATGCTGAACCAGCACGCCCAGTCTTAGGACACTACAGGCTTTGATTGTATTCAGTAAGACATGTAAGATGGCAGTGTGCAGATTAACTGAATTTGCGGAATGTGCATCATGCTGGCTGTGGAACAGACAGGAGAGACATGAAGTCATCCATTTGCGAGCAGCGAGTTCATCTGTCTATCTGTTCCACTGTCAATCCACCATCACAAGGATGTTCTGGGACAAGAGTTGAAATGCCTAGACAGATGGACCCGGCTGATGATGTCAATGAATATGCAATACTGTATAGGTACACAATGTTGAATTATTATGAAATATTAAGAGCAAGAAAGAACAATTAAAAAATTCTTTGCTTTAATAATAAATTCACTGAGTTTACAAAATCATGATAGGGTTAGCATGCACACATAACATCAATATATATCTACAGCTATATCTATAAAACATCTCATCTTACAAATCGCTGCAACAATCCCTAAACAGAAATACAAATAACTATTTATAGATTTATTTTCTGTTAATATTCCCCAGAAAGGAAGGTAGACAACTCTCACATGGTGTTTGGTTCTGATGTCTGTGATGATTGGTGTTGTGTTAACAATTCCAAAGACATTTTTTGTCACGTTCATTTAAATAACTTATCAAGTTTTCTAACTTTTCATAGCATTTTTATGCTCTTAACTTATTCCGTTCATAAAAATATCTTTTTAATACTTTTTCAACCTAAAATGTTGTATACATTGTTTCGAATCTACTAAAGTTGCAAAAACCAAATGATATTGATGATCACAAACAAACAGGGCCCCTTTTACAAGTAAACTCAGCAACAGAGGGATGTACGAAGTGTAGACAACTTAAGTGATAAGGGAACTAACTCCCATTCTCACCACTAAGCACAAACAAAAAATCTCTCCATTTAACAGAGAATAGTTTTGTTCCTATTATCATCTGTAACAGAAATAGTTGCGGCTACACTCAAAATTACTCTCACATCAAATAAAAAACAAAACGGATATAAACACACCAGATTGGTGATAGGGAATGGATATGGTGGCCATAAGGCTTGGAAAACGGGTGGATATACAATATTTTGGTATATGGTATACTTATACATATACTAAATATACTTCATTCTACCCCTCCAAAACTATTGTAAAGCGTATGTGACTCAATTACACAGCAAGACATCTATTCAACAGTTGTCTGCAACGAGTTTGGAGGGCATTTGAGCCTAAGAGGCCTACGAAGGGGTAGTCTTTAATAGTATGTATGCATGTATTCATAAGTGTTCTAGGATTTGCATACATTACGGCGAATAATGATGCAATTAAGACGTTAATATTGCAAACTGCATCCAATGACTTACATCGAACAGTAAGCAATTCATTTTAGCATACAAAATCTTGAGGTATGTTTTGATGAAATTTTTCATATTAACAATTTTGTTCTATGTGTCGCGTTATCTTTTTTTTTAATTGAATATCTGTGATAAAACTATTTCTGATATATACACATTTAAGTAAGGGATACTCAAACAGGAAACACATATTCAAATAAAATAAAGATGGATTGTTCAACAAAGGCCAACAGTTCTACCAGGAAAACTGAAAATTGAACATTTATTATTTGAACTTAATTTAATAAATTTTATCTGTACATAACATCCCTTGGTAAACCATTTGCTACCAAGAATAATATTAACACCAATTGACAAGAGTTGTAAGTACACGTCAATTTATTATCATAAATGAACAAACATAACCTCCCTTTTTCTCTATATATGAATTATATACAAAACCATAGTTATAAAAACCTAACAAACACGTAAACGATGTCTAAATAACCAACAAATGAAAAGAGACAACACGTTATCAATGTAACAACGTTATGTATATGAACACATTATTTATATATTTATTATATAAAAGCACATTGAAATATTATTCATGTACTGTAACGTGTTTATTGTTCAAGTCTGTTTACATACATGTACATATTTACATTTTTAATCAGTTAAAACAAGCAATCAATTTCTAACATTGTGAAGAGTTCATAACTGTTGAAGCTTAAAACAGCTGACAAAAATTGTTTAAATAATAATAAATTATATTCAAATTGATCAAATAGCTATTTCACTAAAGGTCGACTCATTCAACATTTACCACATAACAACTCCAACATAATATCAAGAAAATAGTTTTTGCACTTGAAACATGAAAACACTGACCGTTCCGCAGTATGATTTTGTATTTATTTATGTACATATCATAACTCAACGAAGAACTTACATTCATTAATCCTTTTTTATTCTCCATTTCTGTGAAGAACTCCTATTTTCAACATTTTTCCAGATGCTTCCATATTGACCCCTGGTATCATTAATGTTTCTCTGCCTTATTGACCCCTGGTATCATTAATGTTTCTCTGCCTTATTGACCCCTGGGATCATTAATGTTTCTCTGCCTTATTCATATTTTTCCTAGTACAGTGTATGTACAGGGTACATAAAAATCATTCTTTATCTGGATACTACATGTATGTCAGTCCTCAACTATATTCAAATCTTCATTTTCATTTTCTCTTCTCAATGAAATTTCCCATTATTAAGTTTGAATCAAGGTCATTCTGTTTTCACTATACCTAGATAAGGAACAGCAAATATATACTTTATTTTCATGAAATAATCTGGAACACCCACCGGAAGGTATAACTTCATCATCAGCTTTCCAAATATAAATACAAGTAATTATATCATGAATTGTTAATTGAAAAAGAATGTTAAAGTAAGTAAACCCTTTCCTCGATGTTTTGTGAGCTCAATTTTTAAAGTAATGAAGTTAATTAATGAAAATCTAACAAAGTTGTGATACTTTTTTTAAAATGTTCCAAAGATGAAAGATGAACATGTTCCATGCAGATTTATATAGAATGACTTGAATGGAGTTCACTACCAAAATCTAATTAGCAGTTTTACATGAATGTCTTCACAAAAATATGAAACGACTTGTAAGTTGAGAATTTCTAGATTTAACACAATGGAGAGTTGGCAGACACACAGCCGATAGTCAACATGATATGTAGAAAATTATCAATCCTCTAGTCTATGAAACAGTATAACCTCCAAATGTAGAAAATTGGCCCTTCAGGACTACACATAAATGTGTAGAGAACCTTCTATACTCTATAATGATACACAAATATATCTCTACAATTAGATATTTTTCATTCTATAGCAGAGAAGAGAAAATCTAATGTCTACCACAAAATGAGATGAAACTGTCGCATGGATTTTAAGCTCTTAACCCGCCATGTTGTTCAATTCCTTTGGCTCATTCATATCTACAAGATAAATTGGAGATAGAAAACATTTAGAATTTTACTGTTGTTGCACAACTAATTTATTTTACAAAAATATGATATACTTAATTTCAGTCCAACTTTACAATAAAGTAATTAACTTTAGAGAAAAAAAAATGCTTAAAATAGTTTTTATCAGTTTTAAAATTAAATGTTTGCAAATAATTTTTTGTAAATCATTCCAAAGTTATCTCCTAACAGCATTAAATGTGTGATTTTCACATGTCTTTATCTTGATAAACTGATTAATTCAATGAACATCTTCACATGAATATGAATTTGAGTTGCCCACATATATACTATAACCAGCTATGATCACTAATAAGATGACATCAACAGAATATATATCTAGGAGGATACTTGATCAAAATGTCCCTTCTGCAATAGTTTTCAGGAAAACTTCAGCTTTATCTTAAGTGGTATATAATGTGGGCGACTCAATCAAGTGATGATGAAAACTTTTATTTCAATTCTGCAATTTTACACGAGACATATTTATTCATTTCAAGTAAAGAATTGCCATTATTGTATTCTTTGAAGAAATAAAAATGTACTGTAACATGCAGAATTAAAATAAGAAAGAATATGTGCAAATATGTATGTAGATGACATGTATGACGACTGTTCAGATGTGCGAGATAAACTACAAACCAAACGAAAAAGTTGGTCATATATATGTTACAAGTAGAAGCTATAACATCATCTAATATACAATGACTGACTGATGCTCATCAAATCAAACATTAGTAATGCTTGTAATTTTATCATCTTTCTTATTCCTTTGCATCAGGGAATTCATTGTGTATCAGTATGTTGGTAATAAAAAAGATGGGAAAGTGAAAGTGAGAGCCTGCTTTAGACTACTGTAAACACTGTTTACTTCCCTCAGAGCTCATCACAGAGATGGAGACAGAAGAAAATATTCATGCCAATATCAACTACAGAAAAAAGTAAAAATAAGTTTAAATGGGACTGTTTGTTTCATTTCAAATTATCAAATTACAGACAATAATAGTTACAATTAATGTAACAAGTGATTTGTAGTGATATGATTCAAATGAAAAACTAATCCCTTCTTTCTTCCCACATACAATATCAGTTCTTTTTTTCTCTGTAAATTCATGTGCTCAATGGAAATGAAAGATTCTTTTAAAAGAAATATTCCACATAACATTGATGTATATTTGTGTCTGATTTATATGCACCTATAGCTTCTCTGTTTTTATCTAAAGTCAACTCACCAAGAGCTGAAATAAGGAACCATGTAAAGGTTACAAAGTTTCCCCAATGATTACAAATAACATACTGAAATTACAGCAATGGTTGAGTATGTATCCAAGTATTTAATCATGGTAACCTCATGCACAGTTTGAGCTCATGATTATAGTTAAAAAAACAGATGATTCTTAAGATTTTATTTTTGTGTTTTCTTCTCTACCTTTTCAATCATGACGGCTCTATTTCACTACAACTGCATTTCTAGCCCTGAGGTTTCTTTTTTTTTTTTACTTTACTAATCAAAATTCTAGTTGTAAAAGATTGCAAAAATATAAAACATCAAAACTTCAAATGTTGTTTAAAAGTAAATGCATTGACATTGGTGTAAACAAAAAGAAAATCACAAAAATATGAAAGATTGAAAATTGAGAAAATATACAATAGAGAACTGAGTACACACAAAGATAGTAATAGTGGGAGCAAAAGCAGCAAGTAAAACGGTGTTTTGAAAACTGATGGTTGCTTCACCACTACAGGTAACAATATCTCGTCAATTTGCACCTTATACCATTTTTTTTTCATTAAATGCTATTTACGAGTATGAAAATAAACATTTCAAATTTTGAAACTGAAACAAATAATGAACTGTCATCTGCTGATGCTTCATTCTGACAATTAATCAGGATCACTGAAGTATTAAATACATTTTCTTCTTGTATGTATTGTACTTAAGATTGTATTTAAAATGTTGTATATGAAAGGGCTTTTAAAACCCAAGTCATAAACCTGTGATTGGAAAAAAGATATTATTAGTTTTACACTAAACCACAAACCAATATTAATTGTCAGCCTAATATAGCAACTTCAATTATTTTACTCCAATATTCAGTCACTTGTAGGGTCTTAAAGAAGGTAGAGAGGAACAGGCACATGGACAGGGTCAAGGACAGGGCAACTTGCAAGGGAGGTAGCTCTACAAACAAAAGAGGAAGGCATATTTGTTCATTGAATATGTCTTGCATTTAACCTCACTTTGTTTGAACTATTGTTTGTCTCAATCGGCAGTTTGCTATATAGTTCAAATTTTATTCTGGTACAGAATGAGTAATGAATATCTCCTCTGTTGCTTTATACCATAACACAATGCCATTCTGAGATCAGTTGGTCAATGAACACAATGTCATTAATTGTATATCATTTTGTATGTTTTACCTGTTGATGTATACTACTATAATAACAGAGACCTTACCTGTTTGAAATATTGTTTTAAATGCAGAGCAGTCATTTGTACCAAAATAGAAGAATGAGCAACATGAAAATTGTATACAGTAATATACAAAAGTATCACGAGTCATATCTACGATTTATAGAGATAAAAAATAAATGCTGGAAGGAGCAATAGACAGCAACCATTAGTTTTCAATATATATACCATGTGTCTACTGTGAATGCAAGATCTTTCTATCGATAACATATTGTCATATTGGATCAGATATGGGGTCGGACAGCTGTGCTTGCATAGGATATCTACACTGAATAAATGTATAATATTATTAAAGTGTTTAGGGATCCTAAAGAAAAATCTTTTATAAATTTCTTTGTTTTAAACAGTCCACCTCAACAGTAATCCTTATACATATGAAGTGTTTTATGCTCTATCTTACAAGGTACCTTAATTAAAATACCAAACCTACCTATAAAAACATAAGTTGTAATACACATGGCACCTTGGTTATGGTATATTCTTTAACCTGCTGATGGATTTCAAGGTTTCCCTTAGTGTGCATCAAGTTCACAACTTACCTGGGTATCTTGAATTTGATATCTTAAAGATAAAATTGATAAACTTGCACAGCATATAAATCTACTGGGGTACCTATCTCTCAAAACATAAGTTGTAATACAAAATTCCTTACAAGTGGCACCCTGATTACTCTATATTCTTGAACTGATTTACCTGCAGATGGATTTCAAGGCTTCCTTTAGTGTGTAACAAGTTCACAACTTATCCTGAATTTGATATTTTTAAGATGTATTTGCACAGCACATATTTCTATCCTGCCAGCTTCAATGGATTTGAGATAGCTGGTAATTAAGTATGAATAAGTGGCATCATTTGATCTGAAAAACCGATTTTGGTTATATTCACACATCGACTGTGATGACAATACATATCACTTATTAGTACTTACTGCTGACTGCAAGTTGCTTTGAGGCAGTGCAGCATGAAATCCCCAAACTAAACAAGTCCATTGTGAAAGAGAAGTGACAAAAAGCAACAAGTTGATCCAGACAAAGCCTGCATTCACAGTAGAGCAAAAAACAAAGTGACTAAAACTCAAATGTTCTAAAAATAGCTTAGCAGAATCAGTCATCAGCATAAGGAATACTTTCTTGTCGACCTAGCCAAGGGCGAGTCGACTTTTCCTCTACCTCGGGAGAGCTCGCAAGAACAGGCTTTTTGGACACGCCCCCTTTCTGGGCATTTTGCAACGACTGAAGACTTATAACAGAAGGTCGGCTACGTTTATCATAGCTGTCGAAGTGCGTAGAATCTAAGTCCATTTGGAAAGCATTTACAACACGTATCTGAAAACAGAAAAAAATACACAACAGTTAGACAACAACAAGAGGACACAGACACTAAAACACAATAGGCAAGCCTTGGGGGCAATGTTGGTAATTGAATTCTAGTATAAATTTCATGTGACTCTCTAGGTCCGAACATTGAACATTTCTAAAATACTTATTATTTTTATACAATGAAAACAACTTGTTGAAGACACAATTTTTTAATTCTAACTAGATGCAACTTACAAATTAGATAACTACTTTTCAAATATTGTACATGCACAAACATCTTTTTTTCGGTGGCAGTCAAATGAAAAAGGTACTACCAAACATGCAAAAAGAAAAACTAAGAAATAAGCATGTTGCAAAAAAAAAAAAAAAAAAACTTGGTTGCAATATGGGGAATGATAAGGCCATGCTTCATATGTCATGCTAAATGAAAGACTGTGCTGCGGTAACAGATCTGTTTTCCAAATATCTGGAATGTCATATTGTCATATAAGCATCAATAATATAATTCTTATACTGGAGGTTTGCTTGTGTATAAAAGCTGATCTTAATGATATACAATCATCAGGATAAGGGCATATAGAAAACTTCCCTGGTTTCCTTGATAAAATCACATTACAGCAATTTAAATCCATTAAAAATTTCTTCCCAATATCTCTTAATTCTTTCTTTAAAATCCTGCCAAGAAAAAAAGTGTTGTGGGAGTTTGAATCGTGCAAAGGTACAAAAAAGAAGTTGCATTTTGTGAATAAAAGCAAACATTACGATGGAGGTGGTGAGTGTATCAGATCAACAGGATTTTCACAGATCACCTCTTAATGTAACAGATATGCACTGGTTGGGAAAAACAATTGGGGCAGTTTTACACACAAATATCATGTGCCTCAAAGTTTAGGAGACTTGCAGTGGATACGATACCTAAAACACATGGACAGATGGGGTCAAAGTTCACAATGATTGCAAGATTCAAATCCATCAATAAGGACAGTCAATTCAGAAAAAAAAAGGGACAGGACCAGTTTCTTAAAAAAAATATATAAAAGGGTGAAATACCAACTTGACATTTACATAACTCCAAGATTTCCATGCACCATGTTGAATTGTCTACCTTTGTTCGAAATCTTCTACGCTGGAAAGATCATCTGATTTAGACATCAACGTTTGTGAAAATATAATGAAAGCAAGTTGGTCTCCACTAGGTAGGATGGCTGTGAATCATCTTGGATGGAAACGTGAGAGATAATCTGTTCAATCTTAAGGTATGATATACAAAAGTCTTGTGTCAAATGGTACATCAGGAAGCTAGAAAATTTCCCTGAGCAACATGTGTTGCAAGTGACAAGGTTTTTTCCTTTGTTATATGAGGCAACATGGATGATCATAGATATCCAATTTCTATAGTTGTTGGGACTTTTTTTAAACAGAGTCCAACTAACATAAACAAAGATGATGTTATTGGACAAGTTGTAACAAATTCCTGAGCCAACAACCATGAGAAAGGGTTGTAAACTTATCATTGACATTCATGCATTCCCAAAATATCAACAGTCTACAGTTCTGTATGTAATCACATGCATAACATAGCTATTCATAACATCTGTATGCATTTTAAGCCTTATTGTTTAATACAATAAAACGAAAACAATTTTAATATCAATATTTCGGGCAGGCATGAAGTGTCATCACCTAGCAAACTTTTCATTTTAATTGGCCAACTAAGGAATAAAACTAAAAACGTTTTCCCCTCAATCGCTGAAAAAAATTGAAAAAAAAAAAAACCACATGACATTCATCTTTGCATAGTGGAAATCTGGAAACCAAAAAGCAATGAAAATCAAAAACATCTTAACAAGCAAATAATTTTACAAACATTCATTCTGAAAATGAAACGTGTTATTTCAAAACATACATTGATTATGTCAACATTTTTTCAACAATGTTATTTGATCTATGCTTTTATGATTTCTTCAAAATTTCCAATTTGCAGTTCTGAAGTACATACAAACAGAAAATTCAACTCCGGCATATTTTTTTGTTGACATAAGATTTTATTTCAGATTAAAAGCCCATTAAGTGTGTCTGTATCTTCACTCTGTCATATACAGTACAAGCTATATAATATCATCAAATTTGTACTCAAAATAGGACCCACACAGTACTAACATATATGTACACAAAATTTAGATACGAGAGGTGATAGCTAACTATTACATCCAATTCTGTAAAACAAGTGTAATATTCAAATTCTTTCCTTGGTGTTCTTTTCATCATAAATGTAATATATTGTATACCTTTCCATTTATTTGTTAGAAAAAATGTATTCCTAATGCAAATTCTCTTCAATATTGAATATCTTTATAATCTAAAGACAAAATTAGTGAATTTAGAAAAAAAAAAGAAAAAAAAAAGTTTAATCTTATATTTCATTCCAAAAATTTCACAAAATCCACTTAAGATTATACCAGTGGTTTGATAGAAATTGTTAAAAAAAAGGAAGAAATTTTCTCTCTGATTTTATGCTGAAATATACAGAGGTAAAGGGCTATAACTCTCAGTATTTAACTAGTTACTAGTATCAATATTAGTTTCAACTATGTCAAACATGTTTCTATAATTATTGTACAAAGCTGTAGGTTTAATGTCATGTTAAAGAATACAAATCTAAAATCAACTAACTTAAGTACAAGACAAATGACATAACTGGCCAGGCATCATTCACATTTCTTCCAATAAATGTTAAGGTCAGAAAAAGAAGATAAAATTTTTAATAGTTGTAAATCAATTGATGCACCACAGTATATACCTGGCTTAAACAACACAGTGAATGGTCAGACAAAAAAAAAAAAAAAACATTTACTCTTTTCCACACTACATATTTCACTTGTATTCTTAGAAATCTCTTATCACAAGCTGAAGTATAGGAAATATAGCTGGGCCTGTTTGTTCCCCCAGTAGCATTTTCAACATATGATCCTCGGATGTAGCACCCACACTTAATGGACAAGTCCAAACTACAGAGTACATTGAGGCAAATGGTTTAATAAATGCACTACAGATTGACATAATCTTGACAACTTACCCAAGTTTCTATAATGAAGTGAAACATTTTACACCACGGAAATATGTGAACATTCAAACTGAGGTGAATGTTAGTAAATATTCATGAACTAATAATAAAAAGGGGAGTTTTATTTCTTAATTTATATGACATTTAAAAATCATGATGCAGAAGTAATTCTAATATAATATAGCCACCTTGTCTCCCTATAATCATATTGGAAAATAACGATAAAAATCAAGAGTAAAATCTTCTAAAATTCTACTGTCAAAATAGAAATCTGTTTTCATCTAGATATAAGTGTAAGTTTTGTACTTGATGCTTACTCATACAAGAATATGACATGAACAAAATATGCTCATTTCTACAAGAATCTTACCTATTGTCATAACTAAAATATTCAAGTGACCATAGAAATTCTTATATATACATATGTAGATAATCAACACTTAATTATGCTTTTTTACAAATAAATATATAACAAGTTTATCAGTATTCACACACTTGCACACACACCGACCACCCCTGCTTCATAGATGACACATACATTGTACATACATACAGCCAAACCTGGGAGGAGGAACTCCTTACTATATAAATATAGAGGTATGAAAAACTAGGTCAATTTGTCAAGGTTAATGGTTCACATGGACACCGTTGCCAAGGAACAATTACCATATCAACAATGATTACACATATAGTCAATATTGTCATAAAAAAACCTGTAAAAATTCATTCATACAAAATTTGTTCTCTAGATCGCTTACAAATGATCAGAACATATCTGCTATTACACCTAGTAACTAACTCGCCAAATGTACCTGATAAGTCCCTATGTTATATCTCTTCACGGAACTCCCAGTTATCATAACTTGGTAATTCTGGTAATCAAAGACAAGTCTCTTACACCTAGTAATAATACAGGTAAATTTGTTTCCACTTTGATCATTACAGACTTCTGGAACAGGTAGCATACAAATCAAAGAGCACTGAAGCCAAACAATACTGGACTACTGAGGATACACCACAGCAATGAATACTTTATTGCTATCTTCATAGTACACATCAGTTTTACTATTTCCTTTAATCTGCAAAACTTCCAAATACCCACACATAGTACCTAGTATTAAAGAATTTGTAAAAATAGTAATAATTGTAACTTTATCTTTTTTTGAGCCAATCTTTATTGTCGATGTCATCATTTCTAAAATCTGATTTCTACAAGAAATAATTTACAGTACTGAAGTACACGAGGGAAATAATAGCAATACTTAAAAAACTTTTAACATAAATTTAGATGAATAACTGAACAAGTTTTGTTTCTGTATACTACAAGTGCAGACATTCTGATATTATTTAGTAATATTAAGAATATTAAAATCTGTATGTATTTGCTATAATGGCACCCAGGGAGTTTAAACAATGCTGGAAAGGGGTAATTTTATTAGACAACAACAGAACGGAAGTTATATGGCAGTCGTTGTGCGTAACAAGGACATGACACATTCCCTTGGAGACTTCCAAAATTATTTGTCCTTTTCATCAATGTTCTAATTTAGGAACAGTATACCCACATTGTGAAATGTCTGACATTAAATGTATTATATCGTACAAAGCTAACTGAACATAATTTATGGTGACTTTTGAAATAGAACAAAATACAAGATCAATAATAAAAGACACTATTTACAGCAAACACAGTATGACTCTTGACAACTTGACAAGATAACTGCTTAAAATTTTTATCTGGTAGCAAATCAAAATTTTTCTAACTGCCGATTTTATCAAATGTCCCTGACACATTGTCAACAACTAATTCCTATCAATATATTACCAATATTGTCAAATCAAGAAATTCCATCTGTCCATTCTACGTCAACTAATCCAACATGTAACCTCTATATGTAAATATCCATTAAACTTCTGTAATTTCAATATTTTTGCTCCAAAA